TTTGCATGTACCTCCAAATTGTATCTGCATGCGTGCACACATCCACTTCCACGACAGCCTAAAGACTTAGGGTTTCCAGACACCCCTCAAGTTTGCTGTTCCTATATTCTCCTCTTTACAAGACACACTGCTTTCTGCACTCGTTTCCCCACACTTTCATCCTGCTTTGGAGGCAGGCATGGATACGGGTAGCCTGGAAAATGATGCTTGTTTTTTCCCCTTCCTGGCCGTAGATGTTTGCAAATGCGCAGTCCGAGTTTTTGGGGTGCAGAGGGCAGCAAGAGCAGCCCCTGATCTAAGCACCTCTGAGCTTGCCAGGGCCTGCAAGGTGCAGCAGCCTCTGCAGCTCCTCGGGCTGCAGATCGCGCAGCCCTCCCGCACGAAGCAGGGCCGCAAGGGAAGCGCGAGCGGTTGGGCTGGGAAAACAGTCGGAATTGGGGCTTTCGCACCTCCTTCCAACCGCTCCCAGGGCTGTTCTCTCCTCCCACTGATGCTTTAAGCTAAAAAGAGCTTTGTGACAAGGGCTGCTCCCACTCCCCTGCACTGGAGGCTTTCCCTTGTCTCATGCCCGCCTGCGGAAGACCTTTCTACGCAGAAATCCTATTTAAAACCAGTGCAAACAGCAGAATCGGCTGCTTTCCCCATCACACTGCTTGTGTGCACCCTGATCTTGCCTCGCACAACACGCTGCAGCATAAAGGAGGCTCCACGGAAAACACACCGCTTCCGAAACCATTCTGCTTGTACATCATACATTTCCCTGTCATTTTTATTCCCCTGGTACTTTATTACTGAGGGACATTTGCATGAAAATAGAATCTTTGTTTCATAAGAATTCATCTGCTTCTGCTACTATGGTCCTGGAGGAATTTACGGTGCATGAACACGCTGTATTTCTCATGTTCTCACATACACACAAAAATTGCCAATTATTTAAATTATTGTATCTTCTGGAGGCCTAATTTCCCACCATGAATCTTCTGTTCAATCAATGCCACAGTGATCCCGAGACATGAATGGAAAGGAATGCACTAAAGAGGCTGTTGCACAAACCAGACAGATTTGTGTAGAGACCTGTGGCTCTGGGAATGCCACATTTAGATTTTGTCACCAGGATGGGACTGCCAGGAGACACTGGGGGCTTTGGGAACTGGGCTGTTGTCACCTGCCAGAGCTTCCAGTGCCAGGAGAAGTGTCCCCGACCCTAGAGAGCCCTGATCAGCACCCCAGAAGGCAAAAGGTTTAAATCAACATGTGGCTTTTTCCTGGAGCGAGAAGTCTGGGGACACAACTTGCAATGGGAGTTTTGGTCTAAAACCCAAGAAAACATTGCAAAGAGAAAGCCACGACCCGCATTCCCGTCTCCCCTCGCATGCACAGGCACCGGTGCCCAAACTGCACTCAAGCCGAGCCAGAGGCAGCTTCAAAGCTGGACTTCTGACACGAGCCCATTTGGGAGGGAGCGCTAATGCACAGGAAAATGCTTCAAATTGCAGCAGCCGCTCCTGAACCTCCATCTTCCAGAGATACTGCCGAGCAGCCTCACTCTCCTCTCCCTCCGCTCAAGTGCCCAGCCTGCTCTGCCAGGGCTGTATCCTTTATTTTGCTTCCCCATTAACTGCTGCAGGTCTTTGTTCTTCTGGGTGGGCTCCTCCCCAACAAAAAGAAATAATTCCTAATCCCTCAAACCGATGCATTTATTCTTGCCCCAATCTGGATAAATTAGAGTGAAACTTCAGTGTATGATACATTTGACTAAGCTTTTTGTTCCTTCATCTTTACTGAACTGAAACAAATGCAACCATTTAGATCTATATATCTCCAACATTTTTAATACCTCCTGTAATTCACAACAACCTTACCACTTGAAAAAACACTCAGGTTCTTTCCCTGCCTAATTGTTTCACTCGCTCACAGGCAGTTTAGCCCCTGAACCATCAGCTCGCGCACATGTTCATTAGCCTTGTTCATTTAGCTGTGCGGGCAGCTGTGCTATTTAATGGAGCCGAGCGCCGCCGTGCAGCACGGCCGCGCACACGGATCCTGCGGGATCTCCCGCGCACAGGGAGCTCTCCCCGAGGCACAAACATGGGGGACAGAGCCCAGCCCGTCCTTCCTTTCAAAGGCCTCCGCATCCGAGCAGTGTTCAGCTTCTCTGGCAGCAGCTGCCAGCGAGCGGCTCCGTTCCCCTGCGCGGTGCCGAGCGGCAGCTTCACCGCGCGAAAGGGGAACAAAGAGCAGCCAAGCAGCACTCGCCGCTACTTGTCAGGGCTTTCGAGCCTTTCACAACTCCCACGTCACTGAGGCTCTCCGGACTTGCAAAAGTGAAAATATTAGGGAGATATCAATGGTGGAAGCGTGCCGCAAGATAAGCCTTTGTCTCAGCACGAGGCGGCAGACTGTCAGTCTGGCCCCTTCAAGCTGAGCTGCTTCCCGGGCTCCCAGCACCTCGCTGCCTCGCAGAAGGGATGAGAGCGGCAGCCCCACAAGTGCAGAACTCGCCATCCATGCGCGAAGGGGAGCGGGGCCACCCCAGCCCTGCACGCATGCGGGCGCTCAAGTTGCTCGCCCTAAAACACCAGCTCTCCACCCTGCCAGCCGCACAGCCAAGGGTCACGTCCCGCGTGCCCGTCAGCATCTGGAGGACGAACCAAAGTCGCACAGATCTACACGTGCTGCCCAAACCCTGCCAAGCACCAGCACAGCTGGGGCAGCAGGAAGCACGTTTAGGCTGAGATAAGTTGGTGTAAGAGGGGAAAAGCTTCTATGAGGAGCACGCTACAGGGAGGGTTTTGCACAAGCACCCGAGGGGACTGCGTGAGCTGAAGCAAACCTCTGCAGCTACGGGGCAGGGCCCAGGCCCATCCGGCCGCACGGCCCCATGTTCCAGAGGCGGCAGCAGGACTCAGCGCCGCTTCCCACCAGTTTCCCCAGGTCCCCTCCCTACACACCGGCAGGGCAATAAACCTGCAGCAGCCTCAACCTTTTCCAAAGGGCACAGCCCCATCACACACATTTTCAGCCACTGGCAGAGCCAGTCCAGGGGAGCAGGAACCAGCCATGTGAGCGGTAACCTTTGAAAGCTCCCAGGTCTGCCAGGCCCACCGTGGGGCTCCTAATTACCAGCGGCCCTTGCCCTCGAACAGGCAAATGCAGCAGGTGAATGGGATGAACGCGAGCTACACAGGACAGGTATTTGGTGTCCCGCAACTCTGACACGCTGCAGTTCAGGGTGTCTCCATCAGAGCCATGCAGGGCTGCAGCTCGGGGAAAAGAGGACCCCAGGACTGACAGGCCTGACACACGCAGGGGACACACACGAGGCTCCCCTCGCCCTGAGGTCCCCCGTGGCCGCAGCCTCCCCGTTCAGGGGCTGCAGCAACTACAGAAGCAAGAAAACTTTTTGCTTCTGGCAGAGCGCCCCACAGCTCTTCTTGTCCAAGTGCAATGGGGTGTTTCTAGAGTGGTGCATGCAAGGTCATCTGGACTCACTGAAAAACTAGGGAGGTTGCCAGTCTGGAGGGTTATTTAAAAAACAGCATCTAAGGAGGGCGTAGGATGGAAAGGACCTACAGCTCTCAGTAATTCACACCACTCTCCCTTTGCTCCTTTGCTGTTTAGCCAGCCGCACACATCACTTAAGGGAAATCAGGCTTTCCACGCATGCCACAGCATTTCCCTGCAGGAGATGCCAGGCCATGGGAATGGATAAACACCTGAGCACGAGAAATGCAGACAAGTGGGACAGGAGGTGTTGGCAGGCCATCGCTTTGCAGAGGTTTCCTGTGCTAGGCAGCTGTGAAAAACTAAGATCTTGAAGGGGAGACTACACAGAGCTTTAAGCTGCAACCTGCAGGGACAGGAGGACCCATAGGTGCAGGCACCAACCAGGGCTCCAGTGCTCACCGGTCACTAACCTGACCCCAACACGACTGCTGCAACCAGCCTGTTTAGAGCTGCTGCAGATTGATCCATGTGAAATATTTGTCAGTGGGGGAGTCCTCCCAGACAAACGGCACAGCTGAAAGCCAATACAGGCAGCAAACCAGGGAGAAAGCCTCTTTCAAGAAGGCATTTGAATCCTTCGTGGTGCATTCCAAGAACCACCACAGCCACAAAAACAGCCAGGGAAACCAGAGAGGAGCCACTCGGTGTCCAGAGAGGAAAGTGCCTGTTTACAAACAGGTATACAAGTGCTTCCACCCCCCATTCAATCCCAGCCTGACCCTGCACCTGATTAATTGGTCTAATCACTTCAGCTGGTGCTAATCAGACCAATGAATTGTTTGCAGTCATTAGGCTGCATGATTAACAGGGCTGCCGTGGAAGGCAGCCACCAGCACCATAAATCCACACAGGACATTCTGAAGCATTTGCCAATGGCAGAACGTGAAGAGTAAAATATCACCCTGTTATTTATCTTCCCCCATTGCACAAGAGCATGGTGAGCACTGGAGACACAGCTATGGGCTCTGTTGATCTAAATGATTGTGAAACCACCAGTTTAATTCAAGGATTTATTTTTACAGATTTTATTCAATGAGAACATATCAAAAGCTAATATGCAGCCTGTCCCTTAGGCCACCTTGTCCTAGGGCAGAACGCTGTATAATTGGCCATTAGAGCATACTCAGAGGCTTCAATGTCACTGTTCTGAGCAGGAAAATACACAAGAAAATTGAAATGGAAGCAAGGGACAAAGTGCCCCTGAACCCGAGCTGGACTCTTCCTAGGAGGGAAAACAGCAACTTTGGACAGAGTCTAGAAATGGCCACAAAAGCTGAGGTTTGGGCAAGGAATGTTCAGTGCACTGGTTGGTCCCAGTCTGGGACACAGCAACAGGTACTGGAGAAATGGCTCTCCAAATAATGCCTCCAAATATGTTCAATTCAGAAGCTAAACGCCAATTATTCTATTAAATTGCACCTGGGTACAAAAGCAAGACATTATCCCTGTGTCTTCTGTCATCTGTAACAGACTCTGATCTTAGCTGAGAATCATGCTGCTATTTAAGCAGAACAAGAAGCAATTCATTTTCCCCGAGGTGCACTAAGTTCAGTGCAGAGGGATTAAAGGCATCAGAGCAATGGTGGTCAGCACCACGTGCACTAAATGTCAGCCTGACACCGCAGGAGCGCGGCTTAGATGACACATTTGCATCCTGCTTTTGATTGCAGAGGTCCTGCTGTCATTAATGGGGTTTGAAGTCACTTGATTCCACAGAAGAATTTAGGATTAAAAATAAAGTTGTCAACCCAGTGTCCTCAAGTCCTCTTGCTTGGTCGCTTCACAAGCCTGCAGCACAGCATAGGGAACAGCTGAAGTGATGACATCCTCTTAGCATGGTAGACATGGCAAAAATGATTACATGGTGATACCAAGAATATGCTCAATGTTTAGGTATCAAATGAAACATAATTTTGAAGAATATTTTCACCTTTAGAATAATGCATCATCTTTCCAAACTGCCACAAGCTCCTCTTATTAACACTCTTCAAAACTACTACAATTGAAATGATAATGAGTTCCTAAATTAATATTGCATCTTCCCATTTCAGTATTTGATGAACTGTATCAAAACTTCATTAAATCACTCCGTTTTGCCAGCTCCAGCTTATAACCAGGCAAGAGACACATCTGTCTTCCCTCGCGGTCCACACTCGAAGCCACGCACCAGCGCCGTGCTCACGACGGGCAAACCCCAGCACATGACGGACTACGTTAATGGGACAAATAACAGAGTTAATGGTGCGGTGCTCAAAATACAACAATGAGATTTGACTGCTGATAAATAAGGGGTGCAGAATTAGCTGACTAACAAGATAAGGCTTTGACAAGCAGCTAAGCCCTCGCCTTGTCTCTGCAGAACATGGGAGGCTCTCAGCCCCTTCCCGCTGTGCGAACACCTTGAGGTGCAGGAGACACTCCAGCTTCCAGCAGCTCCCACGCCAGGAATGTGGCTGGGAGAGGCATCAGAGCAGGGAGCCCCGCGCGGCCCCCCAGCTCTCGGCAGCAGCCCCAAGTTTGAGCGCAGCCCAGCTCAGGCAGCGAGCTCACTAGCGGGTCGGGGAAGTTAATTAGGAAGCCTTCTAGTTCTTCCAAAAGAATTCTTAAAACCCCGAGCTGCATAGGCCAGGCTCTGCTCTCTCCTTATGTTGTTGTTTACTGTCAAAGCTGACCATAATTAAGCTGCAAGTGCCAAGCCAGGATTATACCTATCCTTTAAGTTCCAATAGCCCCTTCAGCACCTGCTAATTCATTTAAATTCTCATTTCAAGGCAGACACTTCAAGTTTGGAACCTAATTACTTGGCCAAAGCCCAAGAGACCTTCCCATTTCAAGTGAACCAAGGGCTTCCAGTAGTTTGGCGTCTGGCTCAACAAGACAAGGCAGGTCAGATCCCAGGCTTCTCTTCAAACTCACTCTGATCTTGCCTGTGCTGTTGTTAATTCCCCTGTGCTGTCCTCCAGCCAGCGTTTCACCATGTCCAGTGCAGGACACAGCAGAGCTGAGCTCAGCTTTGCTCTGCAGGGTGTAGGTGACCCAGGAATCCAGGCAGAAAAACACAGATCAGTTTGTAGTAAGAACTAAAAACCTGATTTTAAAGAAGTTGCTGTGTAAGTTCATGTGATGGGACCGAGGCAAAATGGGACTGCAGAAAAGCTCATAACCAACAGACTCTGGGTCACACACAGTGGAAGCAGCTCCAGGATTCAAAGAGAGCCATTAGGAAAGATTTTACATGAGAAAGTGAACTAGAAAAAAAAATTAGAACAGAGGGAAAACACAATATGTAGAATCAGTAGCAGAAGAATCAGTTCCTCTAATAGCTGTAAGGTTCGCAAAAAGATTCAAAATCCAAATCCCATGGCTCCTTAACAGACAGAAAAATCCAGAGACACTTGGTGTGCCTTTCTCGAGCTTTAAATAATTTGTTTCAAGTCAATTACTGTGTGCTCCCTCCCCAGGCTGCAGCAAGCTTATCTTAATGGAAGTACCTGCATCATTCATCAGCGTGTGCTTCCCCAGCTGTGCCCAGCGCTGCCCTGGAGCAGGAGCCCCCTGCACACCCAGGAGCAAGAGGGAGCTCTGGCACCCAGCGCTGCAGGCCCCTTCCCAAGGCCAGGCCTTCTTAAACTGCCTCTAGAGACCTGACCCATTTCTTCTTAAACTGCTCTTAGAGACCTATGACCATGGGCTCCCCAGGCCCCAAAACAGAACTGCTTCCAGCAGACCAGCTGGGGCCTCCTTTACTCATCAACAGGGAATTTCAGGCCTTGCTTTTGACCATGCTCCCTATTTCTTAGATTCTTGAAGCTGGGAACAAACAGGAGCTTTTCTTTCCAGGATGAATTTACACTGTTAAAGCAAAACACTAGATCCTCTCTTAAAAACAAATAAGAAAGATATTTCACTTGCCCCTTAAGCTACTTCAGTTGTTCAATGAGAGTTATTTTTTTAAAACTGAAAGGACAAAAAAGAGGAAATATTAAAATACATGAAAGCCTTGGCTGAGATGCACATCTGGGGAGTGTGGCTGCAGCAATGTTACATAAAAAGGTTTAATGAGCTCTATGGGAAAAACAGACACACTCAGCAATTCAGCTGCAATGTATTTTGCCTCATATGCTCATTAAATGGGTTGCACTGGGACTTAAACTCATTTTGTGAGATATAAATCATAGCCAAATTCTCTGGGTTTTTCACCCATTTTGCACACATGACTCGATGGCCAGGGAAGTTGGTGGCTGATAGGATCTGTTATGTCAAAGCAGCCAAAGCAGTAAAGAGGGTTGTTCTTTAAACCCTTTCAAACACACTCTTTGCATCAGGACTTAAGTGCCCCAGAAAGCTCCGCTGCTCCTGCAGGATCCTGCACTGACTGTGCTCGACTTCATGTGTCTCCAGAGCAGCTGGGGACAGCGGGTGCTCGTGGTAGCCAGGCTGAAGGTGGGAGCCAACTCAAGGGATGAGCGGCCTTTTCCGCTCGGGTGCCTGGAGCAGCTGCTGCCAGGCAGCACATGAGCAGAACAAGCCCCACACACTGCAAACCTGCCAGGGCACACGTGGCACCTCCGCAAAGCCCCACGCAGGAGACACCTTCACCAATACAGACCCTTGGCAGGAACATGCTCATTTGAGGGCACCTGCTCTTATGTTTCAGTCCTGCAATGCTCAGATAAATGAGGAACTCGCCCAAGAGCCAGCTGCCCACTACACACAAGTAAAAGCTCTGCCTTTACACACAAGGCAGAGCTGCTCTGCACACAGAAGGTAGAAGCAAAGGTGCTTCCACACCATGGGCACGAGCGCTCAGCATCGCACACCAGCACCACTGCTCTGCCCAGCAGCTTCCATCTGCAAACCAGCAGCTCGTTTCCAAGCACGTTGGGAAGCACAAAAGAGGGACACAGGGACAAATGCACAGCACAAGTAGTCAGCATTTCTAATTTTAAGAAGGTACAGTTGTCAGCAGGACCTCTTCAGGGTGTGATTTGAGGATAAATGGATGGCAATTTTCCTCTAAGGTATCCAAATTACAGCTTTTACCCATCTAGGATAACATTACCCAGCTGTGCACACAGTTTGGTCAGTGGGCTGCCAGGGAACCCTCTATTTAAATGTTAATGCAGCTGGGTTTAACACTGGGACTGCTGCTGCGGTGGGCAGTGCTCAGGACATGTCACTTGGTCTGTCAAACCGCTGCCCCTCAGGGCCCTTCCCACCCCCAGGACACGGATATCTTAAACTGGGTGCAGAAGCCAGGGAGGAAGTTTGAGTGCTGAAAGGGGCTCAGGAAGGGCTGTCAGGAGACCCTGCCTTGTCTGGCCTCCCTCTCCCCTGCTCAAGTTGTCCCATGGGTGTCACTCCTGTCCTCACGGGGCACCACCTGAGCTACTCACACCCCCCATGCCAGCTCCTGGAAGGCTCTGCTCACACAGGCACAGGCAGTGGCCTCAGAGGCGATTCCCACAGCCCGGAGCTGGCGCAGCAGCACCGCGAGCTGCAGGGCTCCCAGGCAGCCAATATCAGCAGCGCTTGCTGCATGGGGCTGCTCGGGACCCCGCTGCAGAGCGGCACCGCGCCAGCCTTTGTTCCACCATGCATTACTCTCAACTGCTGAATAATTCAGCGTGCAGGATTAATGGCATATGCCAGTGAAGCATGTTCCATATGGAAGCGCAATTCCCTCTGCAGCAGCTTCCCCAATGGCACCTCTCCCAGCGCTGAGTGCAGGCAGCAATGCAAGCTGCTCTGCAGCAGCGCCCACAGGCTCGTGGTGCCCTCTGCCACCACAGGGCCTGTGGGCATGAGGAACCCCCCCTCTTGTCAACCACAAACCCCAAAAACGCAGAGTCCTGAAGGGCCGTGGTCAGACAGCAGCAAAGCTCTGGCCTCATCAACCCCGAATGTATTTAGCAAAGCACTGCATAAAGGCTGGCAGAAAATACACGTAGATAAATTATTCTCTTCAGCATGAGGGCATCTTATCTGCCACTTAGGCCCTAGATTGACAGTACACAAGGGCACAAGCTTAACTCTAAGCAAGTGCTTGATATGCCTGGGGGCTGAGAGCATCCTCAACTCTCTTCTGAAGGGGAGGCTTAAAATATTCAGGCCAATTGCAGAAGCTGTTGAAATCAGTAGAGGAAACACCACTCCTTTCAGCAGGTTTCAGGCCGGGTCACCCCTCTTTCCAGAGCCTCGAGCTGCACAGGAGCACTCGGCACAGACGCAGGGGCATTTGGAGCCACACACCAGCTGCTGATGCTTGCAGAGGCCCAGGCTCGAACACCAGGCTCCATCCTTCCCTCCCTGTGTTTCTGCAGCTCATCAGCATGTTCAGCACCCAGGACAAGCTGCTGTTGCTCCCTGGAGCTTCTCTGCCTTCCCATGGCTCCCCACACCAGTTACACTGTCTCATCCAGCAGCCCAGAATCCAGGAGCACTTAGACACACATGTCATCTTGTACAGTAGCATCCCAGGGAATTGCGGGCTCTGCTCACAGAAGCGAGGCAAAAACTGACTTGCTTTCCTGAGCTGTTTGCATTTGGAATTACAAGATCAAGTCAAATTTAATTAAGGTTCCTAATATCTGACTTTTTCAAATCAGTTATGTGGTGAATTCATGAGCAATTGTGCTTCGGTCTAATGTGCACTCATTTCTTTCTCTTCCGCTAAGCAGGGGGAGGCAGGAAAGCTGGATCACCCTTCTGCTGCCATCACAAAGACTAATACTCATTCCTGGGGCTGATGAATGGACTCTCATTAGCAAATGAGAAGGAAAATATCCCATCTTTCACACTGCCTACCTGGGATAAGAAGTTACACCTTTCATGTAAATATAGCAAGTTAAAGGTTTAAAGCTGCTGAGAAAAGACAACTCTACATTTCCAGGAGAAAACAAGTTTTCAGGTGAGAACGTTAATGCTTTGAGTGGTTGCAAAACAAGCAACCCAAGGAGGACTAGTCCAGAGCACAGGGGACATGAATTCAGCTCTGATTCTGACCTAGGTGGTAAATTAGCCCCAAGCCTCCTGGGACACCCGTAACTGCCCCAGCTGCCCAGGTTCCTGGTGAGCACCTCATGTTCTCCATACAGGCACACACATCTGGGTGGCTTCCTACCAGACCCCAAGGTGCTGAGCAGCAGCTGGAGCCATCTCGTGCTGGGGATGATTCTGGCCATTGGAGAAAAGAAAGGGACAAAGTCA